ATACACTTCTTTCAGCAATGCTACCCTTATCAATGTTTCTTGGTTTATCTGCAGATTGTTGAAAACAATTTCATTTGGTTTGCACGAGAATTTTACACTAAAGCCATCTTCTGCCTTCTTTCCTGTCAGCGCTGAGTGGGAATCTACCAAGGCAAATAAGATGCACAGATATGCACAATTAAAAAAAACCATCGTTAAAATTCTCGAAACGCTGACGTTCTTCCAAATCCCACACGCAAAATGTCGTGATGTGCACAAGTATAAGTTATTTGTATTGCGTAATGTTTTAACGCTAGTTTATTAAAGAAGTTAAGAAAATTTTCATTGGCTATCAAAACAATTAATATGCATAAACACTTTGCATTTTAAGTACTTATTATTTATTTGGTGTAGTGCAGGAAAAATAAGTAACATATTATGCCTTTAGGACGCGTGTACCAAGCATGTATGAAATAAAATGTCGACTGGTCAATTGTGGCTTTCTTCGATATTCACTGCCTTCTTGAAATAAATTTTCAGATACAAACCTTTGATTTTCACGTATAATTTTGTATCAAGCGCAATCTTTTCATAACGTTATCAATATACACTTATTTTTTTTTTTTATAAAAGAAACGTGGCCTGTAAGTTTTTTCTAGATTTCCCCTTAGTTTGATTTTGTAAACAATTTATAGAATGACTTTTTTTTTTATCTAATTAATGAAAATTTTCACACAACATCTGTGTTATGTTTTTATGGTTAAGGTGTATGAAACTGCCAGAATACCAATGTTACAATCATAAATTTATTGTTGGACATAAAAAAAAAAACATATATCTCGAAAAGTTGCAAAGTACTTCTGTATCTCAAAAGAATTTTTAACGATTTCAATTTCGGTATCACAGCTGTATAAGTCCAAAATATGGAAAGGTTACAACCTGTGCATAAAAAACCCAAAATGGCATTTGTGGAACGTTCCTCTCTCTCCAGTTGAATTTTGTAAAAGTTTAAAGAACAATACTTAACATTCCTATTTACCACAGTAATTTGATAGAAGCCGTTTCGATTTTTTTTTTCAGATTGAATAAGGAAGTGATACTTGAGGATAAGATTCTGAGATAATCTGTTACAAGTACAGCAGCTGTTAAGATTTGCCTCTAACACTCAAATTTGCACTTTTAGTTGACCACTTAAAATAGTTTGAAATACTCCAGTAGTGGCTATTTAAGAGGCTGGGGATCAACAAATAAACCATCAGATCCATTTTTTTTTAGATATATCTTTAGCTGAAAACTATCCTTTGAGAAAGAAAAAAAAAATGACTCAATATGATTTTTATTTTTCTTTTTTATTTTTGTTTTTTTTTTTACATGGAGCTCTTCTTCTAGAGAAGATAAATATAGTCTAAATATGAACGTAGCCACTCAGCCCTCTTAATTCCCAAGGCCTTTTTCGTTTTAATAGAAATATTTTCTTCGTAATCAAGATATTTCGAATATGTATTTAAAGAAATAATTTTTAACATTCAAAATAGATTTTTGTACTACAGCTTGTTCAAAACCTTCCTTTATTTGATGGCGATGATCGTAACCCTGTTCAGCTATTTGACAAGAAAAGGACTATTAACCGTATTTTAATGTTACTTGCCCTCCATATACGGATATCTTTTTAAACATATCTATTTTGAATATGTGCGCGTATTACACAGTATTACACAGTGCATGAAAATTCCTTCTTTTTGTGTGCAATAAAAATTAAAAAGTGTAGATGTCGAACAATGATTAATATCATAAATCAAGTAACCAATCAACAACAAGGAGAAACAGGGATTCCCGCAAAGAACGAAGGGAGTTGTAATAAGATAGTTAGGAGCTGAAACAATCATGCTACTATATGTACAGCAACTGTATAACCTTGAGAAGTAAAAATTAATGACTTGATTATACTAAAAAAATTGTTTCAACAAAAACTTGTCCCTCTGTCGCAAGCAAAACAATGTATCCATGCATTTTCTCTCCATTGCATTCTAGTAATGTTTTTTGTGCATCAGTTTATTCCAGTCTAGTTAACCAGAAAAAAAAATCAGTGCTAAAATGTAAAATAAACGTAAAAAAAACCTTTCATCCTCAAAAACAATTTGATCGATTATTACATGAAAAAAGTGGGGAGGAAAAGGCTAGAAAAGTCATTTATAAAAAACGAGCAATTATTTTTCAAAAAATCTGAAACCAAAAAGCTAAAAAATAAACTCAATAGACTCAATGATAAGATCAACGAAATCCTTTGCAAATCAAACGATCTATTATCAAAAATCACTAACTGAATTGACGCTATTAAATCAACGTGCAAAAAAAAATCAGTCAAATCTGTGAGCTATGGGAAGCCGAACGATTTTACACTGTTATATCTTTAAAATTCATGTACAATTAAATCATAAGTTAGGCATGTTGATCATACATTTATCATTTTGCAGAATTTTACTATCACAACTTGCTTTATATACTATGCTGAATTTTACAGAAATCTATGTAAATACACAGCATTTTTAATAAATATTTGTCTTGGGGTTTTTTAATTCTTAATATATTATATGTTTACGTTGCAATAAGCTAACGCTCGCAAAGTTGGAAATCCATCCAAAAATCCAAACTTTTTCTATACTTAAATTCCAATATGTATATTAATGTAGCGTTCCCTCAGACAGATTGACGGTATTTCTATCTCATCTGAGTCTTTACGATTAATTGCTTTTCACGTTTATGATCAATGTTTAAATCAAGGCATGTCAATTGTTGACATTAAGTTGCTATTTTGGCGAAGCTTTCTTTACAAAGCAATGTTTTTTTTTTTGAAACGTACGACAGAATTCTCAGAGAATTGTTTAAAGTAAATCCTTCGACATTTCCTTTTATTATTTTTATTTATTTGAAAATTCTCCCTTAAATATACACTTGGCTGAAAGTAGTAGCTAGCATCTGCCTCTAAGGGATGAACGATCATTCTTCATATAGGATCATATTTCAACGTCCGGGGTTTTAAGGGGGGTGCATGTTCCCATATTGTTTTCGTTTTGTATTGCTTTAACATTTTTTGAGATTGTTCATAATTGATCGTTGTGTAATTTACCTTTTAATTATAATTAAATTTTCTTCGGTTTACCAATATTGTTATAGTTGCTGAACTGTTTAAATAACCATCATTTGTTTTTATTTGCACACCAATATAGTCAAATGAATCAACATTTTTAACAGTAATATCAATTAAAAATTCAGCCATATTTTGTCAACACATTTAAAATGTATTCAAAAACAGTATTTACCTTGCCTTTGTCCATGCAACACGCAGATGAAATTGATACGCATTTGATTTAAGATATATAGCTACTGTATCTCATGCACATACATGATACGTCTCATTTAAAAAAGAAAAAAAAATAGTATGATAATGTATCGATTGCATGAGGCAACATTGAAAATATATATATATATATATATATATATATATATATATATATTTGAACAACACAACTTTGCACACAAGAAGCACTTCTGTTCAACATTTAATTTTATATCGATCTGCATATTAAAAGATTAATACCCTTCAACATTAAATTATGAAATTATATATATGCAGCAATAGTACAAGGTCTTACTATTAAAGATCGATTTTGATATAAGTACTGTTGGATAAGCCTTTTAGATGTACAAAGATAATTCATCTTGGGGGATTACACAAAATATTTTTAGTAGTTGGGTATCAATCAAATTAAAATTCCTGGCATGCTCATTAAAATCATTTGATATTATTATAAAGGAGACATAAGATTAAACTAGGTTTGTTTCTGTAATATACTATATATTTCCCCAAAATTTATCTGCCTGCTTAAATATTTAATTGAAATATGATGAAGGAAATAAGATCCGCTTTTTTATGTATAAGCTTGTATAACTTTTTTGTGTAAAAGCTGAAAAGCATTAAAAGTCTATATAGGCAAAAGGTCTATATCACAAATGCATGACTACATTTCAGCAGAACTTTAATTAACAAGGAACATTAAATACCGTACTAACATAAAATTTTAAAATACAAAGTATCTACATGTATATGTATATGACATCAAAGCAATAATGTTAATGTTCCTTATTTTAAAATATACAAGTATTCCATACTGCCCTATTATTATTCTGTTGATATCGTATTCGAGGATAATGTAGTAATTGTTGTGTTCTTTGCGACCACACGATGCTATGTCCTTTTATTTTTTGTTGTTGTTGCATTATGTAGCATTTTTATATATATCGTTTCTGATATAGTATACTATATTTAATGATCATTGAACCAAGGACCAATTATAATAGATGAAAAATAAAAATACCTACAATTCAAATTTTCTTTAAAAAGGATGTTTATATCATCTGTCCTTAAGCGATCAAAAACACGGTTATTATACTACATATTCAATTATTTAATAATAAAAGATTTCGGAATGTTTTAAGTTAAGGTTTTTCTGTTTCACTTAAAAGCAAACATGGTTTGTATAAATATGTGTATTTACGATTTCTTGGTACTCATAACTTAGTTTAAGGGGTAATTGGATCCGCTTACTGATTGATTTGATCTTGAATCCCAAAAGTCAAATGTATTTTAAGACCTTAATCTCAAATGAGCCGTCCGACCTTTTGCAAAAATGAAAGATGATATATCTCTGAAATGCAGTTGCTCAAAATACATGTCATGTATATTATTAATAAATATGAAAAAACCCAAAGAAATCACTATAAATCGCCTCTCTTAAATGTTGACTTTCAATAAAAAACATTGTTATTTATTTGATTCTTTATAATACAGTCCATTCTTTATATTGCTGTACAGGTACAATGCTTAGATGCATGTCATGGGATTTAAAATTGAAAGATTTCGTTTTTATATATAAATCGTCTGTTAACAAAAAGGAAGGAAAAAATACACAATAACACATTATTTTCTTTTTTTTTCCTTTTTACTTTCAGATTTCTTTTCAACTACAAATACAAACTTTTTGTTCTTAGTTTCAATGTTGCACTGCTTATAACTCTCATGATGTGGATATTAGCACCATGGAGCATATAAGGAAGCAGAAAAAGGACATTTTTTATATTGAACATACTGTAAAAGTATAACACATCAGACCTAGGATTATCAATATGTTGCATGCAATCAGAAATCGTACAAGAAATCAATTTTTATTATGTAAATTCCAGAATCAAAAGTCTGAGGTGCAGTGGTGCAGAGCTTTTGTTTTTCAGCTAGGAATTATATATGTTCGATTATAGTTTTTCTGAATAATAAACACCCATATGGACCAAACTTGTGGAGGGGACAAAACTCGCAGAACAAATTTCAATCATATAGTTTTTTCTCAAAAAAGCTAGCTGTTCTAAGAATTACAAAAGTTATTCAAATATCACTCGTATGTTATGAAGATAAAATACAGTTCCTGTTTCATCCAATAATTCTACGGATTTAGATTTATGTCAATTCAAGAAGATAGGTTCAACGGTAAATTTACATCTACATTGATTGTTAATTAAAGAGGAATTTAATCTTTGATATTAAGCTGTTTGGTTTCTTGTTGTAGTTCAAATTGGTTTTCCAGAAAGTCGTCGGCAAAGGACAATGTTTTTCGCAAAGCTTTTAATGCCAATATATTTATATTGGTTTTCAAGCGATCCTCCTTTTCATAATTCTTCACTGGAATCACTTGTGCTCTTGGTATTGCAATTACATCCGCAATTTTGTTTACAATTTCCTCAACGGGTTTGCTGAAAAATACGTCGCTGATTTCTCTGTCAACCAACGGACACATCCTGTCAATCTTCGTTACGTAAACAAGAAGTGGAATTCCTCAAATGAAAATTATTAAGGCATAAGATTTTTTTTAAAGCGACTTTTTGCAAAAGCTTCAAAAACTGGGAACAAGTGAACATAGAGTAGAAATAAGACATGCAATAAGATAACTTTTGCGAAAAGCTAATTAATAGGTAAGAAGTGATTAAATCATTTATTTTGCCATATTTTCTTGCGCATGAAAATATGCCAGCAACAAGGATGACGTGAATGCTATCAAAACTGATACCAGAAATAAATCTTATTCTTGTTGCAGCCTTGAATTATGAGGGTTGTCCCGTAAAATCAAGGACAAGTTGTCTCGCATGAATTATAATCATCACTGCGTTCTGAAATTTTCACTACTTCTTAGTACATATTTTCTGAATAAATATAGCAAATTTCAAATAGATATATGCATAAATAAACGAATTATGAGATTTAATACTATGTATTGTATCGCCTTACGGCACACGAATGATAACGTCAAAGTGCCTAAAACAGCGTCAGGTACCTCGTTTCATCTTTGCACTAAAAATAAACATGGATAAGTTTCATTTAAATTTCGAAATTTCATTGAAGCACATACTTAAGTCTCCATAAACAATTGAGGAACCAGTCTGGCACAAATGCACGATCTTCTGATGATTTATTAGAAAGATACGGACAATATTCCAACATCATACAACTAATTAGACAATCTTATATTGACGCTGTCAACTTGACAGTGTCTTTAGCTATTACAATTGTAATTTGTCTACATGTCTTGTACTACCTCGGGACTCGATCAAGAAAGACTTTACTCAGAAAACTCCCATTTCATTTATATGCTAAAGATTTGGCAATTTTTTAGATTTTTTTTTCTTTCAATTCATTTAAAGTTTTATATGGCGTTATTACTTCATCTAAATCATAGCGAACTGATATCCGGTGCGCCGTAACGTCACCATTTTTCGTGTGTTGTGTTTACCACTTTCCCTTTTCAAATGCTCAGGAAACTGTCAAAAATTGGCCAAATGCATTGAAAATTTTAAGAAGACAACAAAATAAATTGTGGAACTAAATAAGGATAATTTTAACCCTAATCTTATCTATTTAAAACTTTTGTTTCAAATCAATACTCCTGCATTCTCTAATAAAAACCTTCGTTTTTTTGACCGTGCGCCGTAGGGCCTTACCCTGTGCACATTCAAGCATTATAAAATCTATATTTTTGTGTATATCATATCCAAAACATTATAATTAAATATGATAAATAAACATTCACTAAAAATTTCAGCGTATCATATCCATTATTTTTCGAGAAAAAAGCTTTGTCCATGATTTTACGGGACGAACCTCGTACATGTATTGTTTTCGGTCATTTTGAAGAAAATGAAAATATTATCTCTAGTAAAAAGGAGACAAAGTTTTCATTTTCAATTCGATAAATTGTACAACATGCCTTACTTGTAAATGAAATAATTAGTAAATTTTATCAAATTATTTCTAGAGACCTGGCTTGGTTTCAATACCCCTCTCCATCCACACTTCTTTCCAATGACAATAAAGCATAACGCAAAACAATGTAAAGATTAGATGAAAAGGGTTGATTTACCTGCAGTACACTAACACTTTATGTACGCCATAATCTGATAATAACGGTTATGAGCTCAGTCACAATAACATTGCGTAACTGAGGCACAACTGCAAAAATAACATTTTAACGGATAAACCGAACATACTCTAGCTACCAACATGTACTATACAACCGTTAGACTAACACTCGGATTTATCAGATTTCTATGCACAGTACATTCTATTACACAGCACTCATTTGGAACTGAAAAGCGTTAGTTTTTAAACTAGTTTCTGTAAGTATACATATTAGACAGTTATATATCTTATCCAAATAGGGACATTTCAAACACCACAAACAAAGGAAAAATAAGCGTTTTATAAAGAATTTCCCCTCATAAAATTATCGCTTTTATAATGAAATGAGCCTGATTCACCTATGGTACATGTATTCATGATGCGTAAGTTTAATGAATATCATTTGTGACGAAATACGTATTCAAGACGCCCTTGCTTAGATTGAAAACGGGGATTCGGAGATGTGGGGTTTAGAATGGACTTTCTTCTCCACGACTATTTGCGGTATTAACTTGATCATAAAAACATATTTCAGCATTGTTTTGTTTACCTCTATCGATGGCCATGCTTCTTGTTTCCTTCAGCTTCTTTAGAATTCCCTCTGGCATCACTTCAAGCGTGCTTCCATCCACAACAAAAACAACAACATGTATTTTATCCTTCAGTGTTGGCTGCTTCTGAAACCCAGGGCTGTCTAAGGAGGCCTGGGCCACAGGATTAAACTTCAAATTGATAAGACGTTCATTACTTAGAAATGTAAGCTAGTCACATATATATCATTAACGTAAATGAATAGCATCCACCATAGATTGGTACAAATATTGATGTCCTGTTCTCATTAAAAAATAAAATTAATCATGCATGTGTATCTAATATTCAGATAATACATGCATTTACCTTTTACAAATTGCACTCTAAGTCGAATGAACACGTTACTAACATATGCATTTAAAACATATCGTGGTACTTGCATGAACGAGAACATACTTCGTCTTTTTTCATTATAAATTACACTTAATTTATTTTAGAATAATAAAAAAAAAATACTTATATAAATTAAGCAAAGAAACCTTGTAGTTATTTGGTAGGTTTCCGTCCAACACGAAAGCCATGTCTTCATATTTAATACACAAGTTTTCTTCCAATCCTCGCATGTCGCATAATCTGAAGTTTAAAAATTTCTTTGTAGATGGATTTCTAATACGGAATTTGTTGAACTGAAACAAAACGTATTTCATTCAAGAAAATCAATAGAGAACCGGTGAAAATATAAGAATATGTAATAGTTATTTATTACTAAAAATCAGGAAATTAAGTTCCAATTGCATGAAAGATCTGGAGATATATATATATATAAAGAAGTAAATTTCATTTAAACAAATGAATGTATAAAGATACAAATAGAGCTTGGTGAGTCATTCAATTTTTAACATCAATCGACAGAAACCGTGAGGGAAAATTTAAAGCGTATTACACTTGTAGTGAGGCTGTGTTCAGAACTTCCTGTCCAGGCCCGTGATGTCATTTCTCCTTTAAATATGGAGTTGAAGGTATTCAACAAACTTGATTTCCCAGAACCAACTTGTCCAACAAGCAGGATATTTGCTTCCGGAACTTCAACTTCCTCCATAGGATCATAGTCCACTACGTAGTTTTTAAGTTCAAGAAATGTCTAAAAAAGAATAAGGAAGCAGTGAATAATTCTTGATTTCATGAATGAAGAAAAAGTAAATGGTATTCAACTCTTTTCGTAATAGTTTTAAAATGACCACTTTGTATTGTGTTGATGGAAGGGATTCTTGACTCAGTAATAAAACATATATTGATATAGAAATACAGAAACAGGTTTTGTTGAAAATGTAACCAATGTTCAAGGAATTTAGTTGATAAATAACATATTTAACATAGTAAAACTTTAAATAATCATTTGAATTTCATTTTATATAAAAATTTTGAGGATTTTTTTTAAATTAAATTTCTCTTGAAATTTCGAAAAAGATAGTCTTCAATATCTTCAAAAGATTTTTGAATTTCAAAATTTATATATTTTTACCGCTGATTCCCAGACTGGTTGATCTCTCCAAGGATCACATGTGTAAGTATCCGGACCATCTATAAAATGAATGAACAGTTAAAATATAAAGTGTTTTATTTGACTTTTACAATATTACATGCTGTGGTGATCTTGCCCATAAGCATTAGAAAATATAAAATAAAACTAAATGTTTACCAGATACGCTGACATAATTTATCCAAAAATATAATAATATCAATAGTAATTATATTACAATATGTCATATATAATACGTGGAAAAAATGTTTTTGTTCATACCTTTCACGAGGTACACCTCTAGATCAAAGACATTATTATGTCCGTTCGCTATTGATTGTGGATTCTCTCCACCAACATCATAATGACTACCGGAAAATAAACCGCTTGTGTTCAGTGAATAATGGCCAGATGTTTTCTCACGAGAACCATAAAAGGATCTTAAATTTTCGAACCAGGGTCCATTATTGCTGTACACTGCAACATTTAAAGCTGCATTCGATTTAATTAAAGGGAATTTCATGGGTTTCCATTTATCGTTACTGATAATCTTAAACAGAAATGACTTTTCGTCTCTTATCCATTCGTTACTACTATCCCAGCTCTGTGACGTGTATCCTCCGTACACATTGTTATCTATGTTGTAGTAGACAATCACTGTAGGCCCCTTGTTGTCACAGAACTCATGGAACTTCTGGGAGGTACATCCATGAAGACTACTCCTATACAGAAGCTCCAAATGACATTCCTTTTCGATCCATTCCGCTATCTGGTTTTGTATATTGCATTTGCAAATTCCAAACATAATCGCGCTAAAATTATATGAAAGCTTACAATATTAATTGGAAAAAGATTGGATTCAGTGAAGTTAAATATTTTATCTTATCTTATAATTAGGTAACATAAAACTAAATGTAAATAGAAATAACTCACAGACAGGAAGTCTGTTCTTTCCCTTATCAGAGAGAAAATGAACATATACATGTATGTGCTGTCAAATGGATTTTAAGATTTAACTTTGTATTATTTTGATATATGTACAAGTAATTAAGTTCCTATTTAAAATCTGCCGTATATTTATATCATTACATAATATATAATTATAAATTACCTACGATTTGGTTATTCATATTTTCCTTATAATTAGAAAATCGTTAGTTTTTTTTTTACAAGTATTCTGTACATGTAACCAATTAAAAATAAAATCAAGAAGAAAAAGAGGGGAAAACATTGATTACTAAACATTATTTGCTGAAAATTAGGTCTACATCATTGTACTAAAAGTCATAATTAGGCAGAAATAAATTATGAATAAGTCGCAAAGGAATTCTAGTATATAAGTAAAAAGGTATCACTTTAAGTTTCAAAAATATATCAGCCTAGTTACGGGATTTATCACAAAACCTTCAAGCTTCATGGAATTTGATCTCGTGACCAAGCCGTACTTGCATGTATATTCCGATGGATGTTTAAGAATCGTACCTTATTTCTTAATTATATATTAACTAGAAGGCAAAATTTGAGAAGGTGTAAAATTTATAACACAAAAAGTACTGGGATATATTATCGCTTAATTTGCTACTTATAAGTTGAATATAACTTTAAACTGATAGTTTTATGATTAAGTCTTGAAACATCTGCCGTCAATATTATAAGATTAGAAAAGTAAAGCATATTTCAAGCAAACACATTTAAGGATGAATTCTTCTGATCAATTTACCCCAAGTGGGTCTTCGTACTTAGACATGTCGTAAAATTCAAACTGAAAACAATTTACAAACAAGTTTTTAAAGTTTTTATGATTTATATATTTAACTATATTTATTTTTAAATAAAAAATCTTTCTATGTTGTATTAATGACCAACACGTGTGCAAAATTACGATATAAATTTACGACATAGGCCTAAGAAAGTCGACAAGTGGTTTCGACATGATCGAGAGGGGAAGACTCAAGAAGACGGGATCGCCCGTTTCAAAGCGAAAGGAATGCCGAATGGCACTCCATTAAAAGAGCAGAAACCGGCAAAAATTTTAAAACATTAAAAAATTATCGAGATCGCAATTAAGCCTACAGGAACATTCTCGAAAGCGGTACAAAAATGCCAGCCAAGAACGCCGGTGTGTGTTAGCCTAATTGACTACGTTCCAGTAGCAGTGGAAAAGCGAATATGTAGGTTTACAATGCTTTCAAACTGATTGAAAATAGCAATGTTTATGCGTTAGATACAAAGATTTCAAAATACATAGTATACTGCCACATCGTAAACAACATGTTACATGTACGTAACGTTAGGCCTAAGGTCTCCAGAGGTGTGCAGACGACAACATTCGTATTATCATTTTTATTGCAACTTTAGCTTTTAGTATATGATAAATTAGCTTGGATATTGTAAATGCAGATTTCTACCTCAAATTTATAGACATACCGTAAGAAAATAGTGAGACAACTTCTATAATTTTTAGCTGTTTACATTCGGTGAGAAACATGGTCGCTTCATTCCATGGCGGCCTATGCGGGTTAAAAAAAATGGAATATTTCTGAAACATCATGGACCATGTAGAAATTATTTTAGTCTAAACTACAGGCCTGGGCTCATAAAAACAAAGTCAGATAGACAAAATAATGATTTTACATTTTTTGAACAATGATATTATCAGTAAATTATAATCTAATTTTTTTTCTAAAATTAATTTTTACAGGTATGTCTTGTTTTCACAATAATCACTAATGGAGGCCTTTAGAAGAGAGCAGGGTTTAAGAACCAGAAAAATTAGATGGAGAAAATCATGAAAATCAGATTGAGAAAGTGGGACTGGATTTGACTAATCCCTGTGAAGCCACCATCCTGCACCACAAACCAGGACACAATCTGGAACCCCAAGGGCAAGAGAAAGAGAGGACATCAAACAGACTATCATGAAGTTTTATGTGTTAATTGATTACTTTTTGTTCTAAAAAATCTTTTCTTAACAAAATTGCAATTATTACCTGAAATGATCACACTAATTTTGAATATTTGGTGAATAAAACACATACTTTGACGCCTAAATGCTTGATTTATTTTCACTAAATACTGAAAAAGAAACAGGGGGTGGGTATATAAAAAATATCAAAACTTTCTTATATGTGCACTAACCCCGGCTTTTCATTCTATGAAAAGAAACCATAATACATATAGAAACTGTACAACAATTTTCTTAAAAAGTTTAATTGTAGAAATATGTTTTTCTTCGGTTTTTCGAGCAATTTTATAGGGAAAAATGTGCCTGATTTTGACATGGGTAAACAACATTTTTGGGTACAAGTTATCTAATTGGTATTTATTTGCTCATATTTTGCTTTAAAAATCAACTTTGCAATACTCTCAAGTAAATTTAAGCCAAATTAAGTTTTAATTCACTGTATTTATAAGTTTTATGAGGTATTTTATGGTCTAGTGGCATTTTTAAGGAAATTTCCCGTGCTCTATTTTGGCCTATGTTCAAAGGGTTGAACCTCACTAACATACGAGGGTTGTCCCAAAAAGTCGAAGACAATGTTTATAACTTTTTAAACATGCAACCAATACTAACCAAATTTTGCATAGACATAATACAGTCAATGTTCTTAAAAATTGTAGGTTTTTAAAATATAGGTCTTTCATATTAATAATATTAGGGCGGTTTAGATGGTGGCCGATAAGGTCTGTCGGCGCACGGACAGAATTTGGAATAATTTACGCATATAATTATTACATTTGCTTTTATTTCTTTAGTACTAATTAATACATTTAACTCAAAATCAAATCAACAAAATCAGAATTAAATTCTTAATAAAATGTCAAAATTTCATATAAAAAGCATTAGAAACAGACAATTGGTGTCATGATTTTCAAAGTGTTGTTGGAATTGAGTTTGATAAAAATGACGTTGTCAAACGCGTACCAGGCGCACGGACGCATAATAAATAGTTTTGAATAAGGTTTGTATACATCAGAGACAGAAAGAAAGAGTACAGAAGTGACATTACACACTAAATTTTAATATGGAAGTTATTTTTAAATGGCATGAGATTCAATGAAAATTTATACTGAATGTAAGAAGTAGAGTACTGTTTGTAAAGGTACGCAGACAATGAGGAACAAACTTGACCACGAACGACGTCAAACAATATGTATTCTCTGCTACCTACAGGGTATGGCGATCTTTCGACTAAATTTTGACTAAAATTTGAATCTGCTTGTTAAAAAAAAAACAACAACAAAACACCGGACGGTAATTAATTTTAATAAGTCCTTTAGTCAAGAGTGGTCTTTCACTTTAAAAAAATATATTGACTGTTAACAGACGCATGTGAAGCAGAAAAAGAGATCAAGACGCTAAAAGAGACGTTGCTTTCGTGAGCCGATGTACGCTTATATGCTTTCTTTATTTTTTCATAATTTTCTTATTAAATGTGATATCATCATGAAATTTGAAATGCATGATCATAAAATGTTATATTTAGTTATGACAAGAAAAGAAATTTAATTCAGCAAAGAGAAAATAAACTGCTTTCCCTGTCTACGACTTTTTGGGACAACCCTCGTACACTTTTCTTGTCTTTAAATAATTCCTTGGCTATTACACTTTCAGAAAAATATAGGCATTTGGAAAGTTTAATGCACGTTTTTTCCGCGTATCATAAGAATACATCCTTAAGATACATGTATAAGGTGTTATTATAACAAATAACGGGAAATATAAATACGAGTTGCTCGTGTACACAATTGCAAATACCAATAGTTCTGACTTATTTATAAAATATGATATCTTTGCGTTGTATGAAATGTTTTATTTTACAAACCTCAACGGCACAACATCATCAATGTAACGTGAGAGGGGAAAAAAAATAGACAAGACCGAAAGGTGCTCTATCTACTGAGTTATATGGCCATTTGCGATTTAATCCGATGACTGCAACATTACATCCAACATTTACGACCTGAGAAATATTTGTTTATGGAATATAGATATGTATTTCTTAAATATTATTATAAAAAAGAAAACATTTGCAAATGTAAACATTCATGGCATGTAGGAGGGATGTTCAAAAATAATGTAATCGGGGCTTAGAAAGAAGCAAAAGACGCCTTTTAATGATTTAGTCTTCATGATTTAGAAATAGAAACACTTCAAACGGTAAAAGATCTAGCGAATATTGTTAATGTGAAAAAATGTGAACTTTCTTTTTATCCCGAAAACCCCTTTACTCTTCAGGGGCGTGCAGGGTTTGGACGCTATCATGAAGAAATTTAATGTAGTGGATTCCTGATTCTAGGTCCTTCCTCTAATAAACCTTTCGATTTTTTTGCAAAAAGATTGCTTTCTAGACTTCTCCAAAAATTAAACTGTCTCTCCGAATACGGAATTGAACAACAGTACCATTAATATTTAAGAAAATTGCATATAAATTTGTCTTTGTGTTCTTGCATACCTTTGCTCTTGTCGGACCATTGCTGTTTTTATGAAGTACATCTTATTGTAAATTTTGTATTGAGTGTTTTAAGCAATAGATTCATGTTCCATTATCTGTTTGAATATGAAATAAACTTGGATAACTACAGTTACTGATATTTTAAAATAATTGTTAAGACATTCCTACACGCTGTCGTTTTCACTCCTTTTCAAAATATAGGGTGATCTTTGAGTACCAAGCTTTTTTACCGTTAAACGTTTCTTAAAAACATTGTAAACTACTCCCGATATGATGTATATCAAATTTGCTATGTATCTTAAAGTCATTCATAGATCATCAGATATGATTTGTTGAAATTGGGCAAATAGTA